GTTGGATAAAATTAATATAGTCTTGTTTTTTTGGAGCTAGCTTTTGGTCTATATTTTTCTTAAAAAATTTTAAAACCAACGCCTTTTCTTTTTAGACCAACGTAGGCGGTTGTGCGTTCCAAAACTTAAGGATTTAAAATTTTGATTCCGAGGCTGCTCGGACAGAAAGGCATTATGACCAGATTCCTTTTCGGGTTCATTTTTAGATTTCTTTTCATATTTTTTTTCAGGTTTTCTTTGGATTCCTTTTCAGGTTTTTTTTAGATTCCTTTTCAGGTTTTTTTTAGATTCCTTTTCAGACTTCTTATCAAATTCCTTTTCAGATTCCTTTTCAGATTCCTTTTTAGATTCATTTTCAGATTCTCTTTCAGATTCCTCTTCAGATTCATTTTCAAATACCATGTCATCAAAGTCGACCAGGTCTTGTCCTACATTTTCCTTTCCTTTTCCAGCATTTAGTAATAACAAAATTTTCGCTACCTTAGCTGTTTGGTAAGTATATTCCGTCAACCTAAAGTGAAAATAAAGGTTTAAATTAGAAATGTGCGAATAGTGTTCGAATCACAGCAAATATTCAAACTATTCGAATAGTTCGAACTATTCAAATGATTTGAAAGCGACTTCTGTCTTCCTCTATTCTGTGTCAACACTACCTAATTGTCACATTACGTCAAAAATTCTGTTAAAATAAAAAAATATTCTGGTAAATGTAAATACTAGTAATGTTCATGACATGTCTATAATATCGTCCCAATTATTAGATAAGGGCGTATCTCATATTTTAAAATTTTATAGAGAATTTTAAAGATTGAATAGTTTTAGCTAATTTAAACCAGGAGGACATTTAATGTAATACGTATAGTAGTATATGTGTTTTCCAAGAAATAATTTAATTAGCTAAAACTTTCAATCTTTGAAATGCTCTGTAAAATTGTTAAATATGAAATACTCCATTATGTGATAATTGGGACAATATGTGTTTAATATGCTTATAAGAATTTCAATTTAATATATTAAATAAAAATTAATTTATAATTATAATTACAAACACAAATTATGCAAATTGTAGATGCAAAAATACCTATATAGGGATTTTTGCATCTACAATTTGCTACAAACTTCATATTTCTTTCAGTTTGAAATATTTTTAACTACTACCAAGCTTGGATAATTATTTACATGTTTAATTAAAATTACATACCTGTAACTGCACTTTTTCTAGTCAATTGCACTAATAATTTTCCGCGAAACATTGTGGACACTTGTTTATCTCCTAATGCGTAATAAGAAGACCGGTAAACGCGCTTTTTAGAGATTTGAAAATGAAATTAATTTAACCGAAACATATTATAAAAATGTGGCAACGCAGCAGGGCCTGGCAACGACGGTCGACCATTTAATTTGTGTAAAAACGGGCTCAGGAAGTCGGTTGGAGATGTGGGGTTTGTGAAAGTACACGGAACATACCAAAAAAATTTTTTTTGAGAAATAGTTTCCCCTCATGGTTTGCTCATGTTATTTGCATAAATTTATTTATAAAAATATAAAATACACTCCCTTTACTTCATTATTTCTAGTGGGTCTGAGGTAGCCTTTTAGATATATCGGGTCTGGTATCGCCGGTTGTACCTATATATATATATATATATATATAATATACAGGGTGTCCGGGAAAAGGAGGTCAATCCGTTAACCATATATTCTTTGAGTTAAAACAATAAGGGCCGGTTTTTCAATCGTTGGTTAAGTTTAACTTACGGTTAACTTTCTTAGATACTATTGTGTTAACAATAGTATCTAAGGAAATTAACCGTAAGATAAAGTTAACCAACGATTGAAAAACCGGCCCTAAGACTTTCATAATACCATTTTTCAATTTAGAGCTTCATGTTCGATATACAGAGCGACAAAGTTTGAAATTTAAAACTGATTTTTTTAAATAATTCAAGTAATTGATAAGATATTAAGTTTAAATTCGGTACACTACTTCAACATAAATAGTTACATTTTTTGAGACCAACAAAACAAAAAACAATTGTCAAATAATCAAAATAGGGGGGTCCAGTACTCACTGACTCCCCCTATTTTTTAGTACGTGCGCCAATGACTTCCAAACGGTATTTTTTCAGGTAATCATTTATTGTTGAAAATGTTTTGTCTCTTATAAAATTTTGATAAAATGATTTGTTTTAGAGATAATTTGTAAAGTATGGGTCAATCCATATCAAATTTTTGAAATTTAATTTTTTTTTTTGAAAAAATTTAGGTCATGTGATATATCATAAAAAGGTCTCTAATAGGCCTTTAAAATAAGCCATCACTCACCTTTCTACTTTTAATAGTTTACGAGATATCGCTATTTTTGTAAGTACCCAAATTTATCGGAATTTTTTGATTTACAAAAATCAATAAAACAAAAACCACCCATCGAAAAAAATTCATATATGGGATTTTTGAGTTTTTTAGTGAGGTAAACAAATTTACCAAAAATTATCAAAATCGGAGATGGTGGGGGAAGAACCTTTGGTTGATTTGATATGGACTGACCCATACTTTACAAATTATCTCTAAAACAAATCATTTTATCAAAATTTTATAAGAGACAAAAAATTTTCAACAATAAATGATTACCTGAAAAAATACCGTTTGGAAGTCATTGGCGCACGTACTAAAAAATAGGGGGAGTCAGTGAGTACTGGACCCCCCTATTTTGATTATTTGACCATTGTTTTTTGTTTTGTTGGTCTCAAAAAATGTAACTATTTATGTTGAAGTAGTGTGCCGAATTTGAACTTAATATCTTATCAATTACCCGAATTATTAAAAAAAATCAGTTTTAAATTTCAAACTTTGTCGCCCTGTATATCGAACATGAAGCTCTAAATTGAAAAATGGTATCATGAAAGTCTTATTGTTTTAACTCAAAGAATATATGGTTAACGGATTGACTTTCTTTTCCCGGACACCCTGTATATATATATATATATATATATATATATATATATATATATATATATATATATATAATTATATATAGTATAAATGAATACCTAAATTTTAATTTTTAATACGTAATACTTTTGTTATTGAAGATCAATTGTTAGTATATATGTATATTAGGGTGTCCCAAAAAAAAGAATATATTTTTTTTTCTTGTCTCTTGTAAAAATCTGTTAGTTTATCATGCTGTGAGAGCCCTTTCAAAATATCAGCTCGATTAAAAATTTTGTAGGGGTCGCTCAAGATTTTTAAAAATTGTCAAAATGGTCAAAAATTGAATTTTTAATTTAAATTTAATTCTTTTTCTCGTCTCGATATTATTTTTTAGGTTGAAAATAATAAAAATTCTGTAAATTTCAAATCAATATTTTGATTTCTAAAGGTCGCTAAAAGTTCGTTGATATTTATATTCAGAGGTCCCTCGAAAACATTCAAAATACTCTACTTTGAAAGTTAAAAAAATCTTGAGCGACCTTTAGAAATTAAAATATCGATTTAAAATTTTCAGAATCATTATTATTTTTAAATTAAAAAATAATATCGGAAAGAGAAAAAAAAATAAAATAAAAAAAAATCCAATTTTTGACGATTTTGGTAATTTTTAAAAATCTTGAGCGACCCCTAAAATTTTTTTAATGGTGCTGATCTTTTGACAGGGCTCTTAAAACATGACAAACCAACATATTTTCACAAGAGACGAGAAGAAAAAAAATATTCTTTTTTTTTGCGACACCCTAATGTATATGTTGTTGACGCATTTCCATTTTACGTTTTGCATTATTGCGTTGGTATGTAAAATATTTTCTTGATAAAGCTATTTATTATTATTAAAAAAATCACATATCCACAGGATTGGTTCAGAAAAAAATGTCCTCTTACAACTGTGGCGCGAATGACCACGATTTAAAACACAAACCTATAGAATGTCCGCTCCTTAAGACCACATTAACGTTCTATAAGATAAGTGGACAAAAAAAACAATAAATCTTTTTAGCACTCTATATAACACTACCCACGACGAGTTTTAATAGCCTTCTTAAACTCTGTTAACCTTACGCTATAAAACCCCCTTTGCTTCTTTACTTTTGTTAACTTGGTAAAAGATTTAAAACCAGACTCACCGCTCACCTAAAATTATCCCTAGTAGTGGGATATTATAATATATGATAAGTTTGGCAACTTATTCGGGTTGTTTCTTAATTGGATACTGATACTAAACGGGCTTAATCCTTGGTTAATTTTAAGAAAAAAAAGTTCACATTATCTTAGCTCTTTATTTATATATAGGATGTTTAAAATTGAAAAAAATAGTTTTTAAAACTGCTTTATAAATATATTTTTAAAATTTTATTAGGTGATAATTAGGCATAAAATAGTACATTAAATATCGAGTGTCGAAAGGCGGAGATTTCTGTAGAGTGTGAAGTTTGCTGCGAAACTTAATTCTAAATTTCATGGTGATACCATGTTGAACCTTCGCGTAATATTTAAAAAATCTGCGCATGCGCACGAGCCCCACGAACGCTGAATATAAAACTTAGTTATTTAGTTTTATTTAATGGAATGGGAAATAAAAAGTAATATCTCAAATTAGTAGTTGTATTATATTGTAATATCCGTATAAATAAAATTCGACGTGACGCGACGACGTAATAATTTTAAACTTTAAAATTGTCAGTAGTAATATCACAAGAGAGTTAGAATAAATTAAAAATAATTCGACATAATATATATATTTTCGAAAACCTGTTGCCAAGAACTAGACGCGAGGGCCAGGCGGACTCGACGTCTATTGCCAAATGGCAACAGGTTTGAGAAACGATCTGGATTATTTTTTTACGTAACAACAATGCCCCAAGTTAGGGGGGGGCAACAATGCCTCAAGAATAAACACAAATGTCAAAAAATACTATCAGTTTCTTAAAATCTATTTTTATTTATATATTGCATAGAAGATAATATTAACGTATACCTTATATTACCTTAAATTATTATATTACCTGGATTTTATTGATGGTAGGCTAAATGAATTATATTCTATGGAAGATCTTGTAGGAGTTTTGCTATCGGTAAAATTTGAACAGTTTGATAATGGTCTTGGATCTCTTTGTGGAACAGGTGGAGCTACACTTTCAAGCATAGGCAATGTTAAATTTTCCCGAACTAAATTTTGTCTTTCCGTATTCTAAAAAGAAAATTAATTTGTTTAAATATTTTTACGAAATAAAGATTAACAAAACATAAATGCAGTTAATTAATCCAATAATGGATTAAGTTTTAATATTTACCGATCTTGTAACAATATTATCATAATCTGAATGATGTTCTGAGAGAAGACTATAGGTTGAACATAATGAAGACTTGCAGTTATATTCTGGCTCAAAACCTTTATCTGCTTCTGCAGATGACATATAACTAAAATTGTATCAAATTTAAATTAAATAAAAAACATGTTAAAAAAACATACTATGAGGAGGCAGTGTTAACAGGTTTTATGGAACCTAAGCTTTCACAAAGCTGTCCAAATCTTTCAATAAGCCTTTCGTGTAGTGGTTGAACTCCTGAATTAGCCAATTTTCCATGTAATCTTAAACCCTCCTTAATAACCTTAAAAAATATTTAGTTGAATTTAATTATAACTTAAGCTAAATTATATTAAAACCATTTTAGAAAATACTGTTAAATAATATAGAAATACTAATTTATTTAACCTTTATTGAATTTAAAAAAAGTGATGCTTTTTGTAAAAAACCAAAGCAGGTATTTGCCATGTCGCGCGTTGGTCCCAAGCGCCCAAAAAGCTTGCCAAAAATGAAATTCGATTTCGATGTTTAGTTTATAAAAAGACGGCACCGAATATCTACACCATTTCCAATTGAATTTTAGAAAACGACAAATGTATTTCAGAAAAATGAAATTCGATTTCGATGTTTAGTTTATAAAAAGACAGCACCGAATATCTACACCTTTTCCAATTGTATTTTAGAAAACGACAAAATTTAATGTATTTTAAAAAGGGGCAAATGTATTTCAGAACGCGCTTGAGTATGAGTATGGGGACGTATGGAAGGCCTCATCGACATCGCCTTACACTGATCTCTTAGGGTCATTTTACCCCCTTTTAGTTCTCCGACGTATTCCGCAACTGAACAGCATTACCTGTGTTTGTTGGATCCGAATTTTCACGCCGGCTGGCAGATCCCCCTTAGGAGGTCGTGGATGACAATTTTGATGGTTAAGGCCACTCCCGGAATTTTGTCGCTGTTCCGGGCCATACGCCCGATTTAGGCTAGTGGAGTACGTGACAAGAAGGGAAAACATTTTGGTTTTTGGGGGACATTAGACTGACCCAAAACTAAGTAGTCAGGAATCCCCCTCAACCAGGGATTTAGTAATACCGCCATTCAATTGGGGTTAATGAATGGGGTTCGGTTGGTTAGTACGCTGCTAGGACCTAGCCTTGTTGGTGTACTTCCTGTTTCGCTGTGTCCGTGTCTCTGTCCGAGTCGGATTCCGGTTCCAGGTAACCGCTTTAGAATTGTTTACCTCCATGTGAGATACTGAATCTTGTTTTCAGTACGAAAGTGTTACCGGCCACGACACGCCGTAAGTAGTGCCCTCTGCCTTCGTGGAAATTGAACCCCTCATGCCGAGTACCGACTTAATAATATGCAGCTGTTTATCCCGCCTTTATATAACCTACTGTATTTTTTAACAAGTTTATGCTGGTAAAAATATGAAAAGTGATTGATTATTGCAGGAAGCCTACACAAGGAGTACGAACTATGTATGTATGTGGATATCCCCTATATGGGGAACTGACAAAACTTGCCTATAAAATTGCACAAATTACGTTTTTTTACCACTAGCAGTACCTTGTACTAACGAGAATGCAGCCTGCTTCAGAGTTGAGACATGGACTGCTTTGGGAAGCCATGTGTTTACATGGAGTTCGTTCTCCTTGTGTAGGCTCCCTAAATTATCGCCTAGTATGTAAATCGGGTAAAGTTTTTAACCTCCTAGTCTGTAAAAAACCGCATATTTGTCAGATATACGTAACCTCACTTTCTACCTTTCATAATTATTATTTTATGTATCGTTTAGCAAATAAAATTGTCCATTAAAGATAAAAATGTTTCGGCTTCGAAGTGTCTTATTGTTCTTCGCTAAATTTTGTGATCCGCTCAATTAATCACATATTGGGACATCTCATATTTTTCAAAATTAAAATTACAGAACATATTATATCTATAAAACAGTCGATATTATATCTATAAAACAGTCGATGTTTAAAATTTAATGTAAAGGGTCTGAATTTTAAAATTGTCTTAAACAAATAGGTACTTTTAAAATTTAAGAAAAAAATTAGAATGCCTAACATGTAAGCAAATAGAAAACGTGCTATGTTTTAATCATAAAAATTTCAGACTATAAGATAACTGAATAAAATATTTTAAAATGGTTGTTTACAATCTATAGATACACCAGTCTTAAAAAATACTTTTTTTCTGGGCAGAAGTTGTTAAATAATTGAATAAATAATTATAATTATTTTAAATTAGAAATTATAACTTTCAACAATTTTGACTTTGACTATTTTAAAGTGACAATTTCTAAAAGCACATACTTGGTGGTACCAAGTTGGTACATTCATATACAGGGTGTCCCAGAATATGTTAGCAATCTTCCGGATTCAGATAGAATACATAATAATAATAACTCCCTATAAATTTTTTTCCTACGGACGCCCCTGGAAATCATTTGATTTTAAAGTATTTGGTGGAATTTAATAATTTTTTGTTGGTAACTAGGAAGGTTTCCTTATAATGTGCCCTTTTAATCACATTCGGCTTATTTAGTTTGCCAGGGACGGACTAGCTCTAACAGGATATTGCAATTTTTTTAACACCCTGTACGATAAAGGTACAACATTAATATTTTTGGTCAGCTTAAACCTTAAATTAAAAAAGGTACTCTTGATGGACATTGATAAAATTAACTGTTTACGAAAAAAAAAATGCTTTTGTACCTTCTACCTTCTACTTTTATGCATTCCCTAGCTCTAAGAATTGAAGATTGTTGGATCCTCCACAATGCCTAAAAATTAATCCCTATTTTGCGACAATAAAAATTAATCATATCCAATAAGTTTTTTCGATTGTCTATTGGATTGGCATAGACTAGAGTTTTTTAATAGCCCCACACAAAAAATCTTATGGATTTAGGTCAGGTAATCGAGGCGGCCAAGCCACTGGTCCTTAGCCAAACTTTCCTAAAATTATTTACGACGTGAGGGTGTTAAAGAAAACATCCTAAATGCCATAGTAGTAGATCCTTCTTACAAGTGTCCGAAAATTGGCTGACGAGTTTGCAAAATCTTTCTGAAGACTTACGCGGAGGATAAAATGTTGAGTTTTAGACCAGCACAGAAACTATGCAAATTTCATTGGTTACTTCTCTTTACGGACGAAGCTAAATTTTCTAAAAATGGCATGATATGTGTTTTATGCATGATGGGGCCTCGCCACAATTTAGTCAAGTTGTTCGAGAACACCTAAACAGGAACTTCGAAAATAGATGGATAGGAAGAGGAGAACCAGTGGCTTGGCTACCTAAATTCATTAGATTTTTTGTGGGGCTATTTAAAAACTCTAGTCTATGCCAATCCAATAGACAATCGAGAAAACTTATTGGAAATGATTAATTATTATTGTCGCGAAATAGGGATTAATGTTCAGGCATTATGGAGGATCCAACAATCCTTAATTCTAAGAGCTAGAGAATGCATAAGTGTAGAAGAAGCTCATGCTGAAACATAGAAAATTATTCAATAAAAACCCTAATGTGCAAAAACATTTTTTTTCGTAAACAGTTCAGTTTATTGATGTCGATCAAAAGTACCTTTTTTTCTTTAAGTTTTAAGCTGATATTATTCTTGTGCCTTTATCGTACAGGGTGTTAAAAAAATAGCATTACCCTGTTAGAGCTAGTCCGTCCCTGGAAAACTAAATAAGCCGAATGTGATTTTAAAGTGCTCATTTTAAGGAAACTTTCGTAGTATCCAACATATTAAAAAATTATTAAATTCCACCAAGTACTCCAAAAGTTATTGAAAAACAAACGATTTCCAGGTGCGTCCCTTATGGACCCGTATCTCCGCAGAGGGGGCCGTAGGAAAAAATTATAGGAACTTGTCATATTATTATTATGTGTTCGAACGTTCTATCTAAATTTGGGAGATTGGCCACATATTCTGGAAAACCATGTATAATTAGATTTGACAATGATGTGTATTACATTGTGTAACCATAAATATTAAGCATAAACATAGATAGGAGCTAGGAGCATAAAGCGTCATCTGTTTTAACAAAGTTCCAAATATTTTCAGTATACATATTTTTAAAAGTTAAAATTTAGATATAAATGTCAATGACAATTGTGCTATTTTTCGGGTACAAATGCTAAGAAGTCCTGTACTAAGGGTACACCCGTGAAATCATATTGTCCATGTAAAATGCTCAGAGGGCGTACTTTCTGCACCTAATGCACTTGTATGGACAGAGAAAGAATTGTTTATTTCGCCAATCGAGAAGAAGATTGGGTCGCTTTGGCGGAAAAAGTAAATGTAAATTATAAAACCGCCTACATCTGGGTAAAATCGGGTCGGGAATTAATGAAGAAAAAGGAGGGAATTAAACCCAATACACATAATAGAATAGTTAGATAGGCTAATAGAATGGTTAAAGACTTTGGTTTGACTTTAAAACCGCTTCAGACTAAAAATATTGGCAACTTTTTAAGGCAAATCTGTATATCCAGTATTGGAAATTACCTAGAAGATATATTGTTCACCATAAAACAGGTGCATTATCAACCCGTAACCATGATTTCAGAGGGAAACAAATTAAAACGTGCAAATTATTTCAGAACCTTAAATAAACATATTCATCATGGAAAACAAATTGTATGGATCGTGCCCAAGTTGGTAACAGAGCTGTCCAAATACTGCCAGCATCAAAAGGACCCAATGTTCATATAATCAGGTGACTTTTTAATGGAGCGTTTACGGCAGATGCTGCGAATGAGTGGATGGCAAGATTATTGCAGCATTGGGACTGCGCTCGAGCTGCTCAGCATTCAACAGTTTTTTATGATGCAGCTTTAGCCATGGAAGAGATGTAAGTGAGGCTCTAAATACATAGATTTGTACTTAGTTTTGTAAAATAAAAGTATTTAATTTTAGGTCATATTTATACTGTACAATTTCTACCCCAATTATGCATATATGCATATTATGCATATTGTTCTATCTATATATATAGATAGAACAATATGCATCTTTAAGACTTAAAACAAGACTAACCTCAAATTTAAAAAAATGCAGATAGAACACTATAATTCTCAGGTCACGATTTGTCACTTTCAATACATTTGACGCTTTCCTGAATACAATTTAAAAGTTGTAGTTGCCCATCTTTTGAATGCAAAGTAGTAGTTTGTTGAACTCCTGTCTATTTTTCTTTCCCGAGCATTTATTTCAACCAGTTATTAATGTAAAAAAGTGATTTTCACTGAAAATCGACATCGTAAGATAGGAATGGCACCCC